TCTGCTCACATGCACGTAGACGCTGCCCCAAAACAGGCACCGCTGGGAGCACTAAGAGCTGCAGCATCRTCTACACATGGATCCTCGTGGAGAGCCCACGGAGCCCTGTGTGCACCTGCCCAAGCACAAATGCAGCTCCAAAACTGGAGAGGCTCCCGTAAAACCGCTCTCAAACACTGGTATTTCCAGACGGCGCTGCTGCCTCCTCCTCCCCTACTCCTCTTTTTGCATTGCCTGGACCTTTGCAGGGTGCTGATTCGTGCTGACAAGGTTCCTCGCCACTAAATAATGAATTTAACAATTGTTACAGAAAAGGGAAAAAAGAAAGAGCAGAGGCAGAAATAAGCACACAAAACTAGGCTATGGTCAGGAGGAAAAGCAGAAGGAAAAAAAAAAAAAAAAAAAAAAAAGAGAGACAAGACCAATCTCCAGCGTCAAATATCCAAGCCTTAAAGTCCTTAGGATTTTAGGCTGACATCCAGAGAGGTGATGTAGGATTTCTAGCTCATACTCCCTTGGAATCTGCAGCCTGGGTGTATTACATCAATTAGATTTTAATGAATTTATTCGGTCGGAATTTATTTTCGATGTGTTTTTAGGACAAACACCAACGTAGAGCCCAGCTGCCTTCTCTGCGAAGTGCACAATAACTTGGGATGCTCAGATCCTCCAAATAAAGACAATAACAGGCAAATAAAGCACATGGCCTGAGATCCTCCGCAGTACCCAACTCTTGGTAATTAGATGCCTAAATTAGATGGCARTTAGCTGTCTAAATAAATACCTTTGAAAGTGGATCTTGGGGCAAGACCATGACACCGTGTGAGCTCTCAGTCCCACCAAAGCCAAGACAAGGTTTTTAAGAGAGGGAGATACTGTCATTATTTGGCTGATTTATCCTCATATATTTCTCATAAATTCCACACAATTTCATACTTCTTGAGTTCCAGACAGCAGAAAGACAAATAGTTTGGATTGGGAAGTTTCAAGGTGGGAAAACAGACACGACCCAGGCAGCCAACAGCGCTATCCCCATTCCCATCACCAGCCTTAGGACTTTCATGAAATAATAGCATAAAAATCAGAGTTTAGAGCCACAAATTGGCACCAAATTCTTGCCATAACTGCTGCAAACCTGCACACAAATCTCACCCCAGAACAGTGCTATCGTTCCTAATGGATTACATTTTACGATGTGAATGCTCTTCACAAATCTAATAAAATGCATGCAGGACGTACTGTGTATGTAAAACACAGCTGCATTAATTATGAAAGCTAGTAAATGAATCATATATTACTGCAAATATATTATGCATTTCCTACATTGCTTTGCTCTGCCACGCTTGCATGATGGAATTAAAAACTAAGCGAGAAAGGCTGAAAGAAAGCTAGGAAAAAATAATATCATTAGCTGAGGKGGGGAGGAAGAAAGAGGAACAGAACAGAGGGGAGGGCCTTGTTTTTATAAGCATTTTATAATGGCTATTGCAATATTTGAATATTTGCACACTGCAGACCCCGGAGCTGCAGACAGCTGGTGGGCTGATTTCTTTGACAAAGATATCAATTATTTTGATAACAAAATGCAATCTTACAGAGGGTTGCTAGGGTGTGCAGATTTCTCTGCATTCTTCTAAGCCACTTTTGGTGCCTTTTGGCCCGTTTGCAGGGAGAGTTGGTGGCGAGCTGTGCGTGGTGAGGGAACTGGCTTCTCCAGAGGATGCCTTGTTTCCCGCCAAATTTGCTTGAAGAAACCACTTGAGCTCTGYGCAGGAGACTTCACGTTGCTGTGACTTATTACCCAGGCTATAAACGGGGATCTGCTCGGCTATGGTGGAATTCCGAACAAAATTAAATTTTTCTCTTGCAGGAAGAACATTGCGGCTTCATGCGCACAGAGCTGCTCCGCGAAGCCACCGCTCCTGCAACCTTGGCCAGGTTTTAAGAAAAGCTTTATTTATTTTATGTCCTTAATTGCAAAAACTGCGACAGTCCAACTCTGCTCAGCAAGTGTCACTCTGGTCTAAAAATGCCACAGAGGGCAAGAGCTGCTCCCAAACTTTACTAAAACACCGTGCACCTCTTTGCTACATATTGAAAGGCCTTTTCCATTAAATGAGTCATGTTAATGAACCCTGTGGAGACRCTGGCTGATATCTGCTATGGAGCATTTGAAAGAAAGCAGCTTGAGACAGGAGGTTGGGACGAGGCCTTGCAGCTCAGACAGCCCAGGGAGGAGAAATGCTGAAAGCAGGCGCAGACACCTGCAGTGGCCACGGGCTGCAGCTCTTCTGGTAACTACAGAAAATAACACTACTCCAAAACCCGTTTTGCTCAGCCAGCATATAAGGTCCCGCTCTGACACCTTCTCTACAGAAACAGCTTGTGGAAATGTTCAGTTTCCAGCGTCAGGCGATCGTTTTCCTCCAGGTCTGAATACCTAAGAGCAGCAGGAATGCRTTTGGTTCAGCAGCGGCTCCCACATCACCATTTAGAGATGAAATTAAACAAAAAAAGAAGGTTGGGAGGGACCTCTGGAGGCCTCGAGTCCAACCCTCCCAGTCAAAGCAGGGCTAATTTTAAGGTTGGGTTGCTTCTCTATTCCCACCGCCTTAACGCTGGCAGGAGAAACACAGACCGGGGCTGATTTTCCCTTGCTCCAGGCGATCCAGAACCCTTGCCAAGGAAGGACACAGAGACAGTAGTAAAAAAGCCGGCCGTCTCCCAAGTGTTTTAAAGGCAGAGGCCGGAGCAGGCCCGGCTCCGAGCTGCCCGTCAGGCCCCGTTTTGCGACGCGGAGCAGCCTGGCGGGCAGGATCGATAGTTGGCATGGAAACAAGCTCATTTCCCAAGGATAGAGCTCCTCTTTATTAAATTTGGCTGCTTATCGATCACTTCCTGATCCACGCAGCCAAACACGGCAAGCACTTAATGAAGCACAGATTTTCACCGAGGCGAGTATAAAAATAACGCTATGGCGAGAGGGCTGGGGGCTGCTCCCCGCTCCCGAGCGCATCCCGCCGGCTGCGGCGGCAGCCGGGAACGGCGCAGCAGGAGCATCGGGAAGGGAAAAGGAGCGCGCGCAGGCGGCGCTCGCTGKGATTTGGAGGCGGTAATTGGGAGACGCTGCTGCTCTCGCCTGCCACGCGAGCCCGCTCCCACAGCACCCAGCTGCACGTGCCGCCCCCAGGGTTTGGCTCCCTCCTCGCCGCGGCCCTTTGCTGCTTGTTAACAAATGGGAAGAGCCACCCAGGGCCTCCCCACRTGTCCCTTGGGCCCCCTTTGCACCTCAAGATGTCTCACTCCCCAATGGGCTCTGCTGTCCCCATAGGGCTGTCACCCATCAACAGCATCGTCTCACCACGGCTAAAGTCACTGCTAAGGTCAACCCACGCCAGGATGACTTGGTGGAGTCATCTCTGGAGTTTAAGTTATGGGTTATATTTCTTTACGCTTGTCCATGGCCGGTTGCTTATGCAAACCTCGTTCTTCCATTGGGAAGACCCTACACCCTTTCAAATTGCTTTAGTGTATATTTACCTGAGAGATAACAACAGCTCCAAAAAGCTTCTTCCAGACTACTAAATAATACTAACTTAAAATAATGCCTGAATTCATGCTTAAATGACAGAGCACAATACAATAATCCAGCCATGGCCATCTAGCATGAAGAGTTGACTGCAGATGCTCAGCTAAATTGGAAGATGTGTTCATTTACAAGATACAGCACCTGATAGCTGATTCTGCGGGTCATCTGCTCTCTTTGGTGTGATGCAGAGAAACTGCCACTCCCAGATTCATGAGAGGAGACAAAATGCCCCTAGCACACACATGGATATGCAAGGGCCCCCAAAAGCAACAGTTCACAGAAACTGCAGAGAGAAGACAAGATTTCCTGACATGCTTCTGCATCCCTTGGGCAGCAATCACACGATAACCAGGTCGTGATGAATCCCAGCATTTCAAGTAGCTCTGTTAAGATGTTCTTTAAAAGCTACCTGAACTTTTAACCAAAGATACATGGATTTTACAACAGCTCGGTCCCTAAGCTCAGGAAACTTGCAGGACTTCAGCTTATGTCTGGGGAGCTTGAACCCCTCTTCTTCCACTGGTGCTGTGTCTTGGCAAACAGCACGAGCCCGGTGGAGACTCTCATGTCAACGCTGCATTGAGCCATGGGGTAGCTGGTGCTTTTCCTCTCAGGCCAAAAGAGCTTTATTGCTCAGTCCTCCACTGCCACATGCCAGTCACCTGTCCCTACACACAGCCACCGTGGCAATTCCCAACCCTGCTTTTGTGCACCCCGGTAGCCACCTGTCCCCTCTCCACCTGGGACGCAGGGTGCAGAGCGGGATCTGGGTAAGGATAAGTCCACCTGGCACAACGAAGCCAAACTCGGAGCAATTCTGCAGCAATATGAGAGCCTTCATCAGCTAAGCCTTCTTCAGCAACRTCACCACGCACCCTGTGCAGCGACAGCATCAGCTCTACAGGTAGAAGTGGAGCGGAAGGATTTATCCACCCAGTCCCCCCAGGGAGCCCACGGCAGGGCTAGGGAATCACTGCTGCTCAGTGACGTGCCCGAGGCACGAGACACAACCAGAGCCACATACTCATTGCAGGGCCCATCTCCTGGCTTCCTTCCTGCAGGACTGTCACTGCACATAGTGCAGTGCTTGCTGACACTGCCTGCGCTCTAGCCCAAAAGGTCAGCGCGAGTCTGGCCTGGAAACAGCAGGGGATTTTTCCTGGGCTTKCGAGAGAAAGCAATGCCAGGGAGCAGAGCAGTCCCAGCGCCGGCCTCTGCATGACGGAGCCATCGGGTCTGTAAAGTCACAGGCATTCTGCTCTACTCGGAGCGAGGGATGAGCTCTCATCACGTTACTCTCTCTTTTCTAAATATACCTAAAAGCAAACACTGACCAATGTGTCTGGAGAGCAAGTTTCAAGCCCGTTATCTCATTTAGCTGCTCTTAATGCCCGGGACCCATCCAGGCTGGTATCAGACGCCTATTACAAGACATCTGTGCTCAGCCAAAACCACATGAGGACGGGATTTGTAAGAGAAATCAATCTTGGGAATTTGCCCCAAGATGCATCCCCAAGCCTCTTGCTGCTGGGCCAACCAGGTTCCTATGGAGGGTCTTACCCCAGAGGTTCTCAAAATTAAGTTAGCAAGAGCTACGTTTTTCAGCTAAAAATTAACCTATTCAAGCAGTGAGAAACAAATCCTAAGGAAAGAGACACGTGAAGTGTTTGCTGGTGCAAATCAGCTTCTTGCCACGTTGAGGTGGCTTTGCAGGACAGTCAGACATCAACAAACTCCGCACTTGACTCCATCAGGAACTGGTCCAGTTGCCGACCGGCTCTCCCAGAAGCTCCCAGCTGGCAGGGGACAGAAAGCGGCCAAATAAATTCTTATTCCACCAAAGAGTTTCCTCATTCCACCGAAGAATTTCCTCATTTTCCTCAAAACTTTCTAGGGCTGACAAATGTGGCACCGGGAGAAAAGCCTGGAGGGACTAACAGCCTGATCTTGCGCAATGGCTTAATTTAAGTTAGAAATAACACCTCCCTTTCTCATATAGATCATATTAGGATTTTGAAAGGGCAGTCACGCAACTTCCCCCGGCAGTTATGGCAGCGGCGCGCTCGGAAATGAATGGAGCTCGTGGAAGCATTCAGGAACTAACAATCAGATTTATAATTAGGCCTAAAAAGGGAAGAACGCTGAATAAAAGCAGCACAGCCAATTTTAGAAGAAAAGGAAGTTCTGGATGGAATTCATTGGGGTAGAGCACTGAAGTGGAAATGGAAAGTGTTCAAAGATAAATGAGTTTAGGCCTAAGAGTTTGCTTGACATCTAGAAAATGTACTAGAAACACAGTGTCAAGAAAAGCTAACGTGAATAACAAAGAAACACAAGAAGGGAGAGAAGAGAGGAAAGAGCCATAAAACTTTGGTACAACAAAGAGTTGCAATTATAGAGGGAAATGTAATGAACTGTAAAAAATCATAATGAAAGCAAAGATAGAGAATGAAAGGATGATTGCATATTTGCTTAATGCACATCGGAGAAGTGTCAAAGACATGCAGAACAAGAGGTCACTAAATGAGAAAATAAAGCCGCAGAGGAAAGGCAGGGAATTTATTGCTCTAAATAAAGATTTATTTGCCTGGGATTTACCACTTGAGTGCCAGGGAGAGATGCAAGCAACAGAAGTGTTTTCTTAAAAGAGGGGATGTTTCTGAAGGAAACGGAGCCTTTTTTTGCTCAGATGGCTGATAAATGCAACCCAGTCTAACATGTTGGCAAAACATTGGGCCTGGTTGGGTTGCTAAGGGAGGAATCTAACAGGGCCTTAGAAATAGAGGGAAAAGTCCTTAGAGTCTTGCCCAGTGCCCCCTAGGAAGTGGGGATTTCATCTGCTCATCAATAGTTTTTGCTGACACTCGTATTCCTGGTAAACCCCCCAAATTGCAGGCAGAAAAGGGAAGAAGCTGATGGAAACTGTTGCTTGAACTGGTTGGAGCYCATCGAGGTGCTGGATCATCCAGCTGAAGGCCAGGAGGTCCCGGAGACGCTCAGGGAAGTCCTTGATTATCCCTGGCCCAAACTCTCACCTCCTCCCTCGTACATTTATCAACTGAGCAAAATCTAGACAATTAGTTGTTTAATTTAAGACTAATTTTGTCCCCCAGTTTAAATTAAAGCCCCCAGTTGGATAATTCCCCCACAATCATAATTTTGCTGCATGCTTTTCATTAATCCAATCACAACTTCTACAATGTTATTTGGCAGCTGATTGAGACTACAGTAACCACAGGGGTTCATGTGCATTGTCTCATTTCTGATTAAAAAACAGTAAAATGAGTCCAATTAAAAATTCTTTTAGCATTGTCTAATATATGAAAGTCCCCAAAGTCAGGACAGAAGCCTCCTCTTTCCATCCATGCATTCCAGGGGTGGGTGACAGCAGAAGCTACATGTTAGTGTCAACAATATATAAGTGTCTGTCTAGCTGTCTATGGCAATAACGTATTTAAAGAGAATTGCCAGCATGGCTGAACATCTTTCACGTTTGAAAATATTTGTCTGTGCCTTTGGGGGATTTTTTCTAGGATATTCTGGATTTCTTCCTTGTGTTTCTTTCAGCTCCCAAAAGTYTCATTCAGGGCATCCCAGATCCCGACACAAGGATTCGGCACCAATGGCAGTTCCTTGCAAATCTCACATTCTAGTCAGAAGCGGGAGAGAGGGAAATGCAATGGTGGAAATGGCTTGTGGCAGTAAGTTATAATAAAATACATATTACTGTCAGACACTGTAGCTTTACCTTGTAGGTGCGCTAATTTGGAGAAAAAAACATACAAAGCAGGGGGGACTTTTAAGCAAATCTTAGAAATTGCATTTTCTTCAATGTGTCTGAAAATCTTCTGTCAGGAGTGAGTGTTTGACTTGAAGTACAGAGGGGAGGGGGTGACAGAAATCCATGGGAATAAACACAACAAAGGAGTTGTAGGAAAAAAAAAAATCAAAATTAATCTAGGCTGAATAACAGAGGTAATAAAGCTGACGAGACCCCTTCCCCTCCTTCCTTGGGGACGGGAGCCCGCGGGCGAGCGGGATGCCCATGGGGAGGTGGGTTTCCTGCTGCTCGTGGAGCCGAGGCCGGTGACAGAGGCGTTGTCTGTGTCACTGCCCGTGCCCACACACGAGAGCGATGGCAGCGGGACGTGCTGCTCACGTGGGGACAGAGCAGCCTCGTGCAAAGGGCACCTTATTCCTAGCAAATGCTAAGTGCAAAGGGAGCGGGGCAGGGAGCAAAAAGCAGRTATATTTTAACTGATTGTAGACATTTTGCATGACTATTTCCAAGACAAAATGTTCCTGCTTCCTATTGAGAAGCTGATACTGAGCGTACCAGAGACTCGTGCTTCATGACATTGTCCACATAAAGGACACATTCAAGACCTAGAAATTGTCCAAAAGAGAACACCAAGGAAAATGCCTCTCTCAGGGCTCCCAAGCTGCTGCTTCTCAGCAGACCTGGACCACAGCCACCTGGCAAGACATGAACCCTGTTAGACCTGAACGCAGAACCTACTGCTTTTCTCACCAATAAAAACACAAGCGTGAAATACCCGGAAAAGTGGGCTTCAATCCACCTTGCTCGGACATCCTCGAAACACAGCACTGTCAACACGAGGGCAAATAAGCAAACCGGAGCACCTCCTYGCCCCCTTTCCCACCGGCAGCTGGTTCCCGCTAGGCCCTCTGGCATCTCCAGTGCTCCCGAGCTCGGAAGGCTCTGCCCGGAGCACAGGGAAGGGAGCGCCRCCCTCACCCTGCTCCGCCAACGCGCTGGCTCCATCCAGCCATGAAGGGAAAATCAATAGTGCAGCTCGGACCTCGGCACTTTACAGGCTCCGTGTTTCAGGACTGCTCCCGTGGAAAAAGTGGCAGCACCCCTCACATGCCGCTACGCCAGTGGACGAACTCGGGAATTGCGGCATTCCCACCTTGACCGCATGCTCTACTTGCCCTTGGTTCTTCCCGAGTCCTACCAGACAGGGCACACCATCCTGCCATGCTCAGAAACAGACTCTGAACAACAACTGCTTTAAAAGAGAGGGTCGGGAGCATCTTCCTTCCCTCCAACTATCCAAACAGAGTGAGCAGCTCTTCCATCAGAGCATCCCATTTCTTGGCATCCCCAGCTACAACAACTCAGTCTCTATGGGCTCAACAAGGAGCTGGAGCAGCCACTGAAGCCCTTACTGATAACAACAGTTTGGGAGGGTTCATGCTACTATTTCCATGTGACTTGGAACCAAAAGAATAAGTGCCCAGAAAGAGATGATTCCTCGCAGARGGACTCTGCGCTGGTCTTGCACCCTGGCCCTTGCTGGAATTAGCCTTTTTCTGGACCCGTATAAATGAACGCAGGGCGTTGCTCACGTAGCAGTAACATTTTGCAGTATCTGGCATTTGCCGCTAGTTGAAGGCTACGCACGCCRTGCTCCAGCGGAGCATAAAATTGCTTTCCTGCGGAACAAGCCGGGCTTTGTAAGAATAGGCCAAGCCGGGCGTCGTGTTAACRGCTCCAGTTTCACGTTATTGATTTACATGGTGTAATGGCAGGCGAGAGCTGCTCCCGATGCTCCGCGTGGAAGCGCTGCGGCAGCCGCGCAGGCTACGGAAGGGCCGCCGGGATGCTGCGGGGGGGGGGGTGCCCGGCGTGGGGCCATCATTAGGGCCATGGGTGCTAACGAGCCGGTCCCAAGGGCTCGCTATGCAGATTGGGCTCAGCTTCCCTTACTGCACACACAACTTCTGTGGGCCGCTCGCTCCACGGGCAAGCGGAGTGCACACGAGCGCTTCCGAGCAGCAGCTCCCCTCAGCTCCAGGCGTTGCAATGGGCCCAAGACGGATGCACCGTGTTTTCCCCCCTCCTTCCTACCTTTCTTCTGCTGGAGCCAGGTGTGCACGGCTGTGGTGGGGATTATCCAGGAGGAACATCATTCCCTGAGCGGATGAGAGCGGAGCGGGGTGGAAAGGGAGCCGCTGAAGAACAGTCCAGGGAGACTCCTCATGGGACGAGACCTTTCCACTGCTGCAACCTGGGCAAACGCAACAAGAAAGAAACTAAGGAAAAGCTTTCACTCTTTTACCACTCGTGTTTTCTTTACTAATTGCTCTTATATTTGTGTCTTTTTTTCCCTGAGCCTTGGTTATTTATTGCTCTGTTCCCCAGACTGGGAAATCATTAATTATCAACACGGTGTTGTTTTAAATGCTGCTTGGGTCATCAACAGYTAATAGCAGTGGTGCAAGGCTGAACTTGGGTCCTAGAAGGTGAAAGTCTTTTCAGTTTGTCTTTTAGCACTCAGACAAATCCCGTTAGCTTTCTCCACACCATCAAAGCACTCGGGTAGCATAAAGCAACTGAATACATGAAAATGTATCTAAACACCTTGTATACTTCTACACAGAGCTGTTGCCGACGCTRCTTTTAACCCTAGGAAAACATTTCATCAATTACTGATCAAATACAATGCAGCCGAATTTCRCCACCAGCACATCATTGTGGTAACAGCTATGGAAATTATCCCATCAATAGCTATTCAGGAATAACTTAGAAAGATCGGTTTTCAGATACTTCTGAGAACCCTCAAATAATCCCCTATAATCACGGTGGTGAGAATCCACCAAGGTTTTTCCCTTTGAAAAAAGGGCTGGTCGGAGCTGGAGTGTTGGTGGTCTCTGGAGGCTCCCGATGGATGATACTTGGACTGTATCCCTGCCATCAGCACTGATCCGAGGGCGCTCGGGTGCTCAGAGCCCTGTGAGCCACTGAGTCCTGCCAGGATATTTCCTACCTTGCCCACAAGGCAACCTTGAGTGGCTTCCTGCCCTCAGGCACCAAGCCAGGCTAAGCAAAGCACCTAAGAGGAGCACCAGCTGCACCCTAAACATGACCCACGAGTATTTTGCAGTGCTTTGACTTTGTGATCTTTCCTGCTTCTTTCTACGGGACTGAGAGGATGCCCTTCTTGCTGCTTTTAGGCAAGATGATGCTTTCTGATTTATTTTACACATTTCACAGGTGTAGAGTGTGGTCTTTCTTGCCTTGCTGAAGGGGAAGAAGCAGGGGGCTGCTGGACAAGAAAGGTCTCCCTTCTCCAAGGTGGTAAAGAGGCCCGGGGCTGAAGTGTAACAAAAAGAAAACCCAGGGATTTTTAAAGCTTTGCTTTGCTCATCAGTAACTCGGCTTTGGCTGCTTTATGCTATTTATGCTGTCTCTTATTTAGTTCTCCAGATACCATCAAGTCCTCCAGCCCAATGAGAACCAACCTCCTCTGGCAATGTAGATAAAAGCCACTCTTCAGCTTGAAAATTTCAGGATGTTTTTGGGTGGAATACAAATGTTGGAACTGCCCGATCCCCTTCTCCTTGCCGTTGCAGAAGTCCTTCACCTGATGCCTGAAACTGCCCTTATTGCTCCCATTTTACAGCAGGAGAAAAGCAAAAGCCAACCCAAATACCAAACACTTTGGAGCTGAGAGGCTCCAGCTGCCAGCCAGGACAGAAATACCCCTGTGCTAAACGTGCTGGGGGGCCAACAGAAGGGGTTTAACCTACTCAGGAAGCTTTTCCATGCACCAAATATCACACGCAAACTCAGCACGTGCGCATCCTGTTCAAGGCCATGCAGAAAAGAGGGTGTTCAGGTCCCCTTCGAAAATAAGGAAAGAGCAAGATTTGGCCCCAAATATCCCTGCTCCAAACAAGCTAGAAGGGGTTTCAATAACCTCCCAAAGGCCACACAGGCGCTGCAAAGACACCCTGGGCCCCCCATCACCCATGACCAAGGCTCTGCCAGCCCCAGACAGAGCATTAACCCCAGAGGAATCTCAACCTGCTGCTCCAAAGCCAGGGCAGCTACTGACCAAGCAGCCCCTCCTGCCCCATCCTGGGGGGCCAGACTGCTTTTATGCAGTGCCAATTATGCATGAGGTTAATTGGTGCCACAAAAGCCTCCATTGGGAGGCCCAATTATGCACTACAGCCTTTGCTTTCATCCAACAGGTGAGTACCACAGACACACACACACGTCCCCTCCCAGGGCTGGCTTATGTGGCACAAAGTCTGCTGCCAACCTGCATGGGAGGGGAAAGGAGGAAACAAAGAGAGGAAAATAAGAAGATGAGGGAAAAAAAGTATGCATATATATATATATATATATATATAAATATATATATCTCCAGGGAGGTAGTGCCAGGTAGCAAATGCCCACTACCTGTGCTCTAGTCACAACATTGTCCTCTTCTACCCTCCCAAACGCAGAGGTCTCAGACCCCAAAGGGCAGCTGGCACTGGGAAAAGAAGGGTTAAACGCTGCCAAACCTGCTCAGAAAACCCCTGTGATATTCGCTGGGGTTCACAAATACCATTCACAAGGGAGCGGTGGGCGAGCGGTGCCCACACACGTGCGCTCCTGGTGCTCGCGGTCTGGGAGCGCTTTGGGTGCAGAGAGAACCCAGAGCTCCCCTGGGTGAGGAAGACCCGGGGCAGCTCGTTGCACCCGGCCTCAGCGCGGTGCAGCCCTGCGAGGGGCCGAGCGGAGCACAGGGCAGCCCCTGGACACCAGCTCTGCCCTCGGGATGCGCTTAATGACCTTGGCATCCTGCTGTTTCACCACCTCTCTCGGGCTCCCTTCCCTCAGCTCCCAGGGCGGCAGAGGCAGCAGGACCCACGTTTCTGCCCAGCAATGCGCTGGCTTCCTAATTACAGTTTCCTGGTGTTTCCTTCACTTTTACCAGTTTATTAAAAACAATTAGCCGAGAAGAGCCATCTTTTTTAATCTCTCCCCTATTGTTCTCCTCTCGCTCCGAATCCGAGGAGGTCTTTTCAGGGGTTATTTTATTCCTAATTACATAGGCTGGAGCGAGGGCTCCGCCAGCGAGCCCGGAGAGGGGTTTGTTGCTGCTTTCCCGGCGCGCTCGCTCCTGCTGCCTCCCAAACAGGCAGCGCCAGCAGTTCAGTGGAACAAACACGGGAACAAGGGCTCCTCTCCGAGTCGCAATACGTGATGGATGCGGCTGCGCCACGAGCACTGCGGATGCAGCATCTCCAGCTCTGCTTGGGGCTGCTATTCTAAAGAACAGATATTCAAAGCGGTTTTGCAACCCTGGCTCCCTTGGGCCCTTGGCTGCAGGCAGGAAGGACCACGAGGACAACGTAGCAGAGGATGCTCCCGGTCCGATTTGAGCACAGGCCACTCTAGCTGAGAAACGCCTGACACTTTTTCATTACATATATGTATTTTTTAATCCAAAGCTCTCTGCCAATTCTCTGTTTACCCGATGGGSTTTTGTTTCAAACAGCACAGCCAGAGTGCTGCAATCTTTCATTTGAAAGATTTTTTTTATGCCAGAGAAACCGTTCAAACGTATCCCATGGAGTCTAGTGGCTCTTCCCGGCTTCTCGAGGCTCCCCTCCGCCACCTTGCTTAATTACCCGCCATTGGAACAAGGGTCTTCTCCCTCCTTGATCCTGCCGTGAAATCCCGCCGCTGTCGTTGTCTTTCCAACATCAAAGTCATTTCCATGGTCACCAACCGTGATGTCATAAACACATTTTTAATGGCTTGTTTACAGCCCCGAACAGAAGGAGAAAGGAGATTATGGGTGGAAGGAAACTCTTATCGATGCACAACAGTTTGGAGCACAACGGCATGGCTGGAGCACGCAGAAAACTTGAGGCAAAATTAAAAGAAAGTCCTTGCTGAAATAGTTTCACTTCTGAAGTTAGTCCCAGTGAGAGCGAAGAAGAAAAAAAGAAAAAAAAACTTTATAAAATGCCAGTAAACAAGCAATCCTAAAGGCTTAGCGCCATGCTGGTCCATCCTAAGTCGTGCAAGGAGCTTTCTAGCTTTGGAAGTCAGCAGATCTGCACCCCGACCCTTCCAGCCCCCCGTATCAGTAGGCATGGAAGCACGGCCTGGGCTGCTCTCGGATCACAGCACTATCCCACGGCTTGGCTTGTTCCARTGCGGAACAAGAAGCAGCAGGTACTCGAGAAAAGCTTCAGCTTGAGCAGCTGGCCCTTTCCTCGCCCGCGGTGCCTGTGAGACCCGTTTGCTCCCCTTGGGCCAAGGGCAGCTGGGGGGCACCTTGCCTGGGTGCTCTGTCCYTACCTGCTGTGCCCAAAGCCCCAGTTTCTCCCCTTACCCCTCCAGAGCACAGAGCTCCTGCAGAGCAGACTCAGGGGCTGGGCCTCAGCTCCGGAGCCCCTTCAGGGCTCTGCTCCRAGCTCTGCTGGTGCCACTTCCCCACGTCCTGCCCTCCTCGGGGCTCCTGATTSCCAAGCTCTCTCCAAGTTGATACCACCCATGTGCAGCTAGTTCTTGCCAGGCTGATCTCACGAAGGCAGTCGCACTGCAGGAACTGGCTGGGATGGGGCTTGGCGGCCCACAAGAGGGGGTTTAACCCCCTTAACCGCGGCAGGTCACAGGTCAGGACAGGGTGGGGAAACTGAGTCACGCAGAATTCCTGTTTGAAGTCATGGATGTTTCCCGTGGTCTCTGAAAGCCTCTGGTTGGTTCAGGCACCAGTGACAGGGCAGCAGCAGGGAGCTGAGCTCCCCGCTCCCGTCCTGGATGCTGTTTGGTACCAGCCCAGCGGTACCACCAGACCGGGATCTGCTGCCGTCCTGCCCAGGCTCCTGCGGCAAAACCCTCAACCACACCCAGCCTGGAGCCCATGGGAGGAAGGGTTTGGGATCCTCCAAGGCAAGAGGATCCTTCCCAGGCACGTAGCTGGGATCACCTACTAGCAATATGTTCCTGCACGTGCACTCCAAGGAGATCATCTCCCTCCCTAACCAAGGAAAATATGAAGGGGGGGAAAAAAAACTACAGGATGAAACGTCTAAATCCTCAGTCCATGAAAAAGAATTAACGTAACTTCCCTGTTCCAAAGCTGGGAGCTCCTCCGCGGGATTTCCTATTGCACGTTAGGCATCAGCCAGGGCGTTGYGCTCAGTGTGCTCTTTTCCAGGGATTTCGCACTCCCTTTTCAGCACGAAGGTACCGAGCAAGYAACCCACCAT